TGATGACACTTTTATAGTTAGAGTTCTGTATTACTAAGGATATGTACACATGTTAGTTTCATGTATGGTATATATATATATTATAGATATGCGTACTCCATCAAGGTCATCATGGGATGGAGATAACACAAAGACTCCTGTGAGGAGAAGTGCTTGGGATACTCCTACACCAGCTCATTTATCCAGTGTTGATGAACCTAGATGGACTGGTACTCATGGCTCTCTTGATACACCATTACCAACTCCTTCTCATTTATATAATGATTGGGCTAATGATCGTAAAAGCTTTGGAAGGCCTACAAAAGAAGGTACTATAAATAATTTTTTAATTTTTATTGTGGGCTTAAATCCATAAAATTAATTCTGTTAAATTTTATTAATATCAGATAAATATTAAAAAAAATTATGCCTGCTTTGAAATCTAGTTTTAAGCAATGAAAAATTGAGGCAACGAAATAAACCAGCTATATAGTACATGTACTGTAAATCCTTAAATAGAAGCCGCATTCGAATAAATGCCGGGGTAGCAATAGAATTAAACTATAAATACGGAACGTTACCTTGGGAGTGACTCAGTAGTCTAGTGGATAGTGCCTGAAGTTCCAGATATCAAAAGGATGAGGTTACGGGTTTGAATCCCACTCTGGTCTGAAGTTTTTTTATTTTTTAATATATTTTTTCGAGATCCAAATACCATTTTAGCAAATAGACGCCCGGGCTTTTATTTAAGGAAATACGGTACTTAAAATATGGAGAATTCTCTTCTTGTGATTTTTGTTGAAATTCTCTGTAAAATTAGTCTTTGGCCCAATTTTTGAGGAACTTGACAGTCCAACTGATGGCAGATCAATTGACAAATGATTCTTTGAATGTAATTTTGGGCTCTTAATTTGGGGTCACAAAAAAATTATTGTATGTAAAAACTGTGGCACACTGTTGTAATGTTTTTATGACTGTGTTATTGTTGTCTGTCATTAGGCAATGTGGATGATGATGATATTAAGTTCAGTAGCATGGAAGACAGAATCGAGTGGGAAGATGAGCAAAAAGTAAGTCATGTAATGTGCAATAAAAGCAATGCTTTTTTTGTTTTGAGTTTCTATTTTTAAGAAAGTTTTTGTACATCACACACATAATTTTTATTATTGAAGAGTGTAAATCATTGTTTCTGTTATAGAGGATGGATCGTGCATGGTATGATCTGGATAGTGGATATGACGATACTAATAATCCATTTGCTAACATACCAGAAGAATATACTAAGAAGAAAGAAGAGAAACTTATGAAAACCACTGTAAAGAGAATGTCTGCTCAACAAAGACAGCTAAATAAAGTTAGTTTTAACATCAATGTACATTTAAAGAGGTATCACATTTATATTATTCCGTTATCTTAATTTATTTCACTTGGTGCAATTTCTTAATTGTACATGTAGGATAATGAAAAGTGGGAGACCAATCGTCTATTGACAAGTGGCATTGTTCAACAAGTTGATGTTGATGATGATTTTGAGGATGAGGCTGAGTCTAAAGTTCATTTGTTAGTTAGTAATGTTGTTCCTCCTTTTCTTGATGGCAGGATAGTCTTTACTAAGCAACCTGAACCAGTCATTCCTGTCAAGGTTAGTGACACTTGTGGGGGTACCTGATTGTTTTTGTGCTGTTCCAATTACCAGGATAAATGCTCCCCTTAATAATTTATTTTAAACTACACACATATTTTACATGTACTACATAGCTACAAATTTTTTTGGTCATTGTCAGAACATAATTTTTGGCACTCTACTGTATGGCTGAAAATATTTGTGAAAATCAGCAGTATTGTGCAAATTCTTATATTTTTGGGAAGTTTTGATATTAGCGAGATTAAATATTTGCGTTTTGACAGTATTATGTGAGTTCTTACGTTTCTGGGAGTTTTAATAATAGCAAGATTTAATTTGCGTTTGACCACTTGCCTAAAGGACATGCAGTACAGTGCAAAAGAAGCTAAGTTGCTACTCTACTGTCGTGTAGGTTGTTTGCTGCTCCTTCGTTGCGCATGTGCAAACCCACCAGTAGTAGTAGTGCACATGATCAGCAGCAGGACAGTAGCTCAACATTAGAATTGGGCACAGAACCTCCTAAACAGGCTTCTAAAAGTTGAGGGTGACAGTACAGATGAACTTGGAGCCAAGAGAAACATCCCCAAGTTCTAGGAGAGCCTCTTTAGCACTTGCATGAGATCTTGCTACTACAGAACATGTAACTGGGCAGTATCGCAGTACTTCCTAGGCGTATCTCAGCGAAGAGTAGCGAAGTAAAATTACTAGCTACATACTATGTGCGATACTTACATGTACAGTGTAACTTTTTTCGCCTTGTACTGTACCACTTAATAATAATAATGCTAACTTAACGAAGGGATACTATTGATAGAAGTATTGTCTGGCCTGGGTAATGGATGCAATCAAATGATGATTTGTGACATCATTGATACTAAATTACAAATGTAGATGAATAGGTGTTATTGAGGACTTAATGACAACTCTCATTAGAAGCGGAAGCCATTTCTTGTTGAGTTCCTGATGGCTTCCTGTGGGGTTGGGCTGTGGAAAGTTTATGTGATGGAATTGCTGCTCTATTGAATGGGCAAATTTTAAAAATCCATTTTTAAGATGAGAAGGTAGAAATGAAACTTTCCACAGTTTATGAATAAGGCTTGGAAAATCTTGATTTGTCAGTGTTGTAGCACATGTTTTAAGTTCAAATCCATTCATCTTTTATGGGGCCAAAAACTGATACATCAAGGGGCTGCAAATATGAGTACAATGAGGTGGGAAGCAAATCAGGTGAATTATGTTCTCTCTTGCCATCTTGATTAATTTGAGAGAGAGAGGTGTGAGTGATGTCCATCAAAAGAAAGATCAACAGGATATTTAATTGTCAAGTCTTTTGTAGCAGGGATGATCATTTTTTTCAAACCACTGTGCAAAATTATCTCGCTCCATGCATCTGCTATCAGACACTGTGTACATGGCACCAGCTGGCCCCCCTGCATCCATTGAGCTGATACATTTTTTCCTTTATAGACAATGTATGGGGGCAGATGGACACCATTGCTGATCCACTACCTAGCACTGTGATGTAGTCATGGCCACTACCTCCTATTATGTCTATCTTTCACCCCACATCTTGCTAAGATATGTTTAGATCCTACTGCTGTGCTAAACCAGTTTCATCATAATTCCAAATACAGCAACTCAATTCCTCTGCCCTCGCCCATGCTGTAGGCGTATAGGCAAGGGTACTGCGATCGTCCTGTCAGTATGTGTTTGCAAGATGGCATCTTTTTCTCTGTTTTCACATCCTTGCTGCTCTTTGCTCAGATCCTGAGGAGTCCCATTGTCAACTGAAACGATTACCAAAAGTAGCTTTTCTTCAGTTTACTTCTTCACCCATCTTCTCCTAGACAGCATGAGCCAGTAATGTTGCTAAATGTAGTCAGGATTCCAGGTAACTCTCTCTTGACGAAGGTAAAAGTGCAATAATAATACAATTAATTTTCGTTAAATAAAATTTCGTCGTTTGTTATTAAAATCCGCATACTACAACTACCGACATGGAACAAAAATTTTGTCTGTTAAATATTTTGTCAAGCAAAATAACTGACAAATTTGACAAAAAATTTGATCGTCAAAAATTTGGAGCTATACTGTATTACAGAAACCAGAGTGGCAATGGAAAATAGAAAATGGAGACCCAAACTATAGTCAAACTACACAGTAAACTGTACAATTAGGACTTCAGTAAAGCTGGGGGATATTAAAGAATTTACATTAGAATTTTATAAGGAATCCTACAAACCTATATAAGATTTCAGCCTGCTTGACTCATCCAACATGGCAATATTTTTTGGCGATAAAATTTTAAAGATAACTGTTTAAAACATTTACGAACAAAGAGAACATAATAGTCATAAGTACTTTTATTAATTAATAGGAACAAAGAGAACATAATAGTCATAATTACTTTTATTAATTATTATCTGTATGATTCCGTAGTAATTGAATGGCATTTGCCACTTGCTGACCAATGTTTTCTTTGTTTTCGAATTTAGTTAAATCAGACCTTCTTCTTTGAAGGTCCAATTGTAGCTTCAATATCTGAGCAACGTCCTCCTTGTATACACATCCGATTCCGTAAATAGTAACTGTACGAGGCTTCAGATTCTTTTTTAGGGCTTGGTACGTCACGAATCCAGCCACAGCAACCATGTTTGCAAGAGTCTGTGGCTTGTTATGGTTCTTCTGTTTGCATTCACTTACAAGACTTACTAGATACAGGTCATCATCTCCTACTGGACCCTCCTGTAATGAATGTACTTCACCATGTACCGAAATGGCGGCGAAGTCCTGAGATTCATGAAGTATAAAGAAATTGGGTTTTGATGTTTGGTGAAATGAAACATTACAATCTGCTAAAGACTCATTGCCTTTAATTACTAATTCCTTTCCTCCATAGTGTTTGTTTAACCAACTGACAAAATAAGGATTCATGACAACTTCGAAAGGATGGACACTTAATTCAATGTAGATATTAGTAGCAGGCTTTGATTGTATTTCAGAAACAAGAGCAGATACAACTTCATCTACACTTGCTTTTTCAGGAAATTTAACTCTAACTTCTGGTGTAGACTGTTTTATGTTTTCTATCATGATATCTTGTCCCACAGTGTTGGGAAAGAATTTTTGTGGTACTATAAATTTTTCGAATGTCTTAACAACCATTGGTAGTTGCTCAGTAACTGTGACAAGTTTTGCCAAACCATGACTTCTTTTGGCATCTGATGCGGGTACAGGTTTGTGAAAGACGTACATATAATTATTATCTGCCTTCCCTGGCCCTATATGTTTGAATACTCCAGAGGTATCACGTTGTTTGTCCAGTGAGTCGGGTAAAAGATAAGGATGTGGTACATTTCCGGGGACAAAATCACAAATACTGCTCATAAATTTTTCTCGTAATTGCCTCTATGTCAAAACTATGAGTCACTACTCTAGCTCTTGTCTTATATCTCCTCTCTGGTGTACCAAAACTGCTTCCTGCCTCTTCTGTCTTAACTACTTTAGATAGCATTGGTCTACTTATTCCTATTGTAAACCAATCACTTCAAAAAAGGCTGTTTATTGTATATGCTTACCAGTTGCCTCTAGTGCCCTCTGAAATGCTCCCTTTCCCTTACTTCTCCTTTCTAAGCCTTTGAAATACTTGTACACATTACTAACAGTCTCTTTTGCCTGGCTATTCAATCTAACTCCTTGCTTTACAGTTGTCCCTCCAGATGACAACTCACGTGACTTTTATTTTCCATGTGACGTCATAATGGCGGACATTTTGCTGATTTTGTAGGCTGTATCTTTATGCTTCATTCTTGTTGATGAAAGGCTATAACATTTTCTCGATGCATTTAGACCTTGAAGCAATAACCAAAGAAGGTGTAGGTGAGCATTTATACTGATTAAACGTACATGCTAGACTTACATGTATATGCTCACTTTTCCTAAGATTGGAATTGGAATTGCAGTATATTTGCATCTCAGATCTGCCATCAACAATTAATAGTTTCTCCATGTCTCTGTTGTGTTTTGAATTATTAGTACATTGATGTATGCAGCAGCCTGTGACACAGCGGGATAGCTGTAGCCAAGGCAGCCCTGCAGTCACAGGAGCTGGCCTCGGACCAGAAAAGGAAGTCGTCAAGCTAATGGAGCAAGCTCTTCACCCCTTGCACTTTAAGGCCCATGAAAGGCCATTGGCTACGGCCGTAAAGAGCTTTGGGGCCGATCGTAGCCCAAACGGAAGCGCTCTGTCACAGAAGGTAAGACCCTCCCAAGACATGCCGAGCAATTGCTGGTCATCTGGATGCACTGGGACCCTCCGGTAGGCGGACTTGAGGTCGAGTTTTGCCATCCATGCTCCGGGCCCACAAGCCCGGACGCGGCAGATGGCCTCGTCCACTGAGGAGTAGGAGAGCGAGCACAGTTCTGGATCGATACCGTCATTAACACTGGCTCCGGGAGGAGATGATAAGTCAACGATAAGGCGGTACTTCCCAGGCTGGCCACTTTTGGGGATTAGACCCATCAGGCTATTATGTACCTCCTCTCCAGACAATGCCAACCGAATTGTGGCTTGCCTAAGCTGCTTCTTTAAGTACTCCCTGGTGGCGGAAGAGTTCGCTTTGACTGAAGAGAGGTTCCGGCCAACCGCCCTCAGGGAAGATGACCGGTTGAAACCGACCTGAAAGCCTTCAGCCATATCCCGTCGAAGGAAGTCAGCCAGAGCCATGTCTGGTAGGCAAGCTAGGTATGGCTCCCACTCAACCAATGGTAAAAAACCCTGGACCTGGCCTGTTATATATGCCTCGGCGGGGCAAAAGGACTCCAAACTTTCGAGATCCCTGGTATACGGATACTGCTGCCGCCGCCAAGGGGCCGACTCTAGAATAGGAAATGAAAATGGGATTTTTTAGTATCATTATTAACGAGCAAAAAGGGGAAACAAAATCAAGTCATGCATATAAGTGACCCAAAGGTTGAATAACTGTCATAATGAGTACTGAACCAGCTGGAATGAGCTCCTACACTGCTAGGGGCTTATCCTTCCCCTTGCAATCAGAGGCCGGGTGGCCTGGTTTTTTGCAAGAACTGCAAGAGGGGAGGAAGCGGCAGCTCTCTGCTGAATTTGGGCAGGAGCCCGCATTAAAGCGTCGACAGAACTCCCCTGGCACTGAGTACGGTTTCTGCCTGGATGCTGCCTTCCTCCCCTCACTCACATTTGGGGCGAGGCTCCTCAGAGCACAATCAGCCTTCCCATGGTCCCATGACAGGCATAGGGGGCAGTTGCGACCGCCTTGGACCGGGGCCGACCCTAGAACAGTAGCAGAAAGTAGGGAAGGGTTGATGTCTGACCAGCTGAGCTGAGTCCCCGCAGCTACTTGCTG